GTGGACAAGATGTCACAGCCTCTCATCAAAGAGCTCCTCAACACTCTGATCACACATACTATTGATCTGAATGGCCATCAAGAAGGATTGGAAGGAAATATGGACTGATGTCAATCAATGGCATGTCTAGTTAGTGGTACTTTTTTTGTTTTGTGAGAATTATAGATGTTCATAAATATTGTACAAGTGCACTCCCACTAAAGTGAATGTTGTAGAATGTTTTGGTAGAATGGAAAAGGAAAACAGCTAAAAAGACTGTAAGATCAATTAAATAATCTTTATCAAAAGTGTCTGTCTTATTTGAGGGAATGAAGACTCTGAATGAACTTCCTGTACTCAGATATTATAATGAGTATATTATACTCATTATACTCCAGACTTTCATACTGGGATCACGTGAGAAATAGTTATCTATGGGATGTGGGGTCAATGAGTGTTCTTCACCTGGACAATTCAGACCTAGAAGTGCAAGATCTGTGAGCTCTTCTTTCTTCTAGGGCCCAGCTGTTTGTGGTATTCTCAATTGTGAAGTGTAGGTGGAATTAAAGGACATGAATAAGTCTTTAGAACTCAAGCTCCTCCATCCTCCAGCTGAATCAGTGAGGGATTCCAGGGATGGCTTCACTGGAGTTGAGGAGATTCTTTAGCCTCTGAAGAATAGGCCCAGAGCTTAGAAATTGAACTTTTGCCTTCCACATTGTAAGGGTCTTTCTTCTGTGGTGACAGTTGGCATGGCAGACAAGGTTTGAGTAGAATACAGTGGAACTCTAACTGTTACAGCGGAAGTATACTGTTAGCAGACAAGGATAACACCCACAACATAGGCTCCAAGAGTCACAAATACCAAGGTTCATCATACATTACCTGTGCAGAGGGGAGAGACAAAGTGCTTTGTAATTGGTTTTATAATATTCTTTCCCCCAACCAATTCAAAGAACAGACTTGACAAAGCAGTTCATAGCTGTGTCAGATTATGATTTGCTCTCTCAACAGGTGACATCAATTATCTGCTCTTCAAACAATCCTCAGTCTCCACGACAACTAGGATTGCCTTTCTAAATGCAAATCATATGCTTTTATTCCCCTTGCTTTTTTTTTTCTGGTGCCTACAACATGAAGCCCTTAGCTCAACATTTATGGTACTTTCCAGCTATGTATTTTGTAATTCTCCAGTACTTATTTTTGGTAACATCAATTACTCCCAATTCCAATTCCTTAGTTGTGTTCCACATCACTGTATATATTGCTCCATTTCCTATTTTCTACCTGGTGTATCCAGTCTTTAAGGCCCAACAGAAGGGTGACCTCCAGGTGAGTTCCTCCTTGGAGTTAATCCCTTTCAGCTGTGGGTTCCTTTAGCACCATGCGTGTATTTCCATCTCCTCATTTATCACACTGTATTTTAGTTCTTTGTTTACATACCAATCTTTCATCGGACTATAAACCTTTGGAAGGCTAGGACTCCCTATAGTAGTGATACTCACTGAGCAACTGTCTCATCTCCTAGAGAGCATTTTGAAAATTTATGGGGGTGTTTCTTGTTTTTGATGTTGTCACAATGATAAGTGAGGCAAGGGATGTTACAGGACAAAGTATTGTCCCAAATTCCAAATGACTTTTGGAATTTGAATGTTCCACTGGTTGATGATAAAACTGTTTACAATCATCTGAACCTAGAACTTAATTCTTCTGTATATAGGAGCACGATGTTAATTTACACTAAATTTTTCCATGAATTAAACTACTGTGTAAATTGAGGGAAGACACTACTAGTCCTTGGGCCCAATTTTTTTTTTTCCCGTAAGACGTAGACCCAAAGGGAGAAACAAGGAAATATGCTGTGGGAGGCTTTCTATTCTCCACACTTGAGAGGACCAACTGTCAGAGGCCTCCTGTGGCTGAGGTTTCCAACCTGGGTATTCCAGCACAGTGTACCTCAGCATGGTCCACCATTGTGCAAAGATGCTGATCCCCTCACCTCTCAGGGTGGCGCATGGGTCCTGAGGGGGCCATGAGCAATTGCCTCAAACCGTGAGCAGCCATGGCACTTATTTCAGAATACCATAGATGTACACATTTCCTATGAAAATGAATTTTCTATGAAAAAGGGTAGGAAACACTGCCTTATAGAACAAACAGCACAATGTATCAGGTTTCTAAATGTACAACGTATTGGGTAATAATAACAATAAATTTTTATTAGGCAATGTTAAAAAAGCATATCAATTTAGTACAGTTTATGTAATTTGATGCATTTCTTCTGCCCAATGGTCATGCAATATTACCCCCTGGATGCTGTACTTATTCTTGTTCTAAGCATCCTTTTAGAATAGAATATAAATTATTTAGTCTCTTTGAAATTATAACCTTTTGGTTCTTTAAGTCTTCTGAAAACTGGTACCAAACCAATTCCTTAATTAGCATTGAAAATACTGAACTAAATATATTGATTTCAGTGCTTACCAAAGATGATGAAAATACATATATGTACAAAATATTTTAGTATTTATGTGCCTGTAAATAAAAAAGGAGCAATAAAAGTGATTTCATTTCAGAAGGTGAACATTTTGAAAGAAATAATACTTGTGTAAATTCTGAACTAAAATAGAATGAAATAAAATTCTGAAATAAGATAAAAATAGAATGTTAGCATTATAGGAAACTATAGAGATTATTTGAGGTAATCTTCCCATTTTATGTATATGAAAGCTGAGAAATGACATATTCATAGTCACACAGCTAACAAATAATCAGGATGGAAATTCAATTCTTATTCTCAGTTGAGCTTTTTTAAATTAAATGTATTATGAAATATTTTCGGCCAGGCATGGTGGCTCATGCCTGTAATCCCACCACTTTGGGAGGCCAAGATGAACGGATCGCAAGGTCAGGAGATCGAGACCAACCTGGCTAACACAGTGAAACCCCGTCGCTACTAAAAATAACAAAAAATCAGCCGGGCATGGTGGTGGGTGCCTGTAGTCCCAGCTACTTGGGAGGCTAAGGCAGGAGAATGGCGTGAACCTGGGAGGCAGAGTTTGCAGTGAACCGAGATCGCACCACTGCACTCCAGCCTGGGCAACAGAGCGAGAGACTGTCTCAAAAAAAAAAAAAAAAGAAGAAATATTTTCAAGAGTCCCTTAAGAAAATTTCCATATATTTCAACATGTATCTTGCAAAAAGCCTATGAACTTCAATTTGTATTGATACTTGTAAAATTATGTGCACACACATCATTTCTTGAGTTTGTTAACCAGAGCTTTCCAACCAAAATGAAGCTGCAGTCTAAGAAGTTTGTAATTGTGGCCAACATAGTGATTTTTTTTCTGCCCTCATAGTGGCCTAAGCACCCAAATTGGCCACCTCCAAGTAAGAAGCTTCATCCGTTTACCTCCATACCTTACAAATATTACCATTTGCTATATGTGCCATGAAATGGAAAGGTTGGGAAGCAATGGTTTAAACTAATTCCTATCATTGCTCTTTTATCTTGACCCCAACCTTTCCATATGTGAACCAATAAAGTAAACCACCCACATTTTGTCTTATCAGTAGTCTAAGACCAGTGCAAGAATATAAGGATACCAGGTAATTGCTTACGTTGTTTGGGTGCAGGTATATTCTAAAGTTCTTTTAGAAAATATCGTTTTAATAAATTAAAAGTTGAATGAAGGAGAGGAGTTCCCTTTGAGGTAACTTCCCAGAAAATCAATGCAATTATTTTTACCACAGTGAGTTTTTTTTTTCAATATTAAAACCACATTATGGCCAGGTGCGGTGGCTCACGCCTGTAATACCAGCACTTTGGGAGGCCAAGGCGGGCAGATCACCTGGGGTCAGGAGTGCAAGACCAGCCTGGCCAGCATGGTGAAACCCCATCTCTACTAAAAATACAAATATTAGCTGAATGTGGTAGCATGCGCCTGTAATCCCAGCTACTCAGGAGGCTGAGGCAGAAGAACCTCTTGAACCTGGGAGGCAGAGGTTGCAGTGAGCTGAGATCATGCCACTGCACTCCAGCCTGGGCAACAGAGTAAGACTCCGTCTCAAAAAAAAAAAAAAAAAAAAAAATCTGGAGGCAAATTTCTATCTTTGTCTGATAAAATTGTACAGAAATAGTAATCACCATTTCATCTAGTACCCAGCACATTTTCAAGGATCTGCAAGGTTCACACTCTAATACATACAAACAGAGAATATGCCTAGCTCATAGATGATTAGTAACTGTTTATTTGAACCCATAGTTTGTACACTTCAGCACAGTATTTTACAACTTAACCTTCAAAGAAACCCCTAAAACATTGTATGTTCTATATAATTATAAGTCACTTGATGCGGCTGGCAAATTCTAAGGTAGTCCCTATAATTCTTACCCACTGGCCATCACATCTTTGTGTAATCCTCACCCCTTGAAGATGGGCAAAACCTGTAACTTCTAACCAGTATGGCAAAGGTGATGGAATGTCACTGCATAGTTATGCTAATGTTATATGGAAAAAGTAAAGAGGTCATATAGATGTAATTAAGGCTTCTAATCAGTTGATTTTAAGTTAATGAAAAGGGAGACTATGCTGGTGGGCCTGACCTAATGAGCCCCTTAAAAGAGGGTCTAGAAGTGAGAAAAGTAACAGACTCTTTCTGCTGCTGGCTATGAAGAAGGAAGCTGCCATAACTTCTACAGCCACACAGCAGTAAATCCTTCCAACAGCCTGAAGGAGCTTAGAAGTCGATCCTCCCCTAGGTGTGCCTCCAGATGAGAAAAGAGCCCAGTCTACACCTTGATTTCACACTTCTGAGACTCCAAACAGAGATCCCAGCTAAGCCGTATCTGGACTCTTGACTCACAGAAACTGTGAGATAACAAAAATAAGGTGTTTTAAACTGCTAAGTTTGCAGGAATCTGTTACAAAGCAATAGATAACAAATACACGTAGATATTAAAAAGTAGGGCTTATGAAAGCATGAAGCGAGTGCCTCTGGATGTACCGACCAAGCCTTACCTGCACTTCCATGCTAGCTGGCTCCTCCAACAGATGTAGCAGTTGTTGTTTCTCCCGAGATAGCTGTTCTACAAGCCTCTCCTGGGCAGCCAGGCTCTGATTCAGTTCTTCGATTCTCCTGAAGCAAAGGAAAAGTAAGGACAATAATTATGATCATGATACTATTATTACCTTATTTTTTTCACCTCATTCCAAAGATAGCATGGTCTAGTACAGCAGGTTTTTACCCTTTTGGATCATTGAACATTTTGATACATTTCTTTAGAAAACCATGTATTTTCTGCCCAGCCCCCAAATACATACACAAACAACTTTTTGCTTACATTTTCACCAGATTCATGGACTTCCTGAAGTTAATTCATAGATCTTTAGACTGTAGGTATTTAACTCTTGGAATAAGGGCCTAGAATTTTTTGATGGTGGTGGTAGTGGCTGTTCCATTCAAGAAACGGTTCTTGGATAACTATTTTGTGTACTCAATGCACTCTCCCAAGTACTGGAAATATGAAGTTGGAAAAGAAACAATCTCTGTTTTGCAAAAATTTAAATTCCACCGGCACATGTTTGCTAGTGATTTGGAGAGTGAGAAGACACACAGCTACAGTCATGTGCCATATCCTGTTTCTGTCAACATTATGTCATCATACTGCATATATCCTATCACCTAGTAAAGTCCTAGCTGCAGTAACATCATAGTGCAATGTATTTCCCACTTGTTTGTGGTGTTGTTGGTGTAAGCAAACCTACTGCACTGGCAGTTGTATAAAAACATAAGTATAGTATGTAATACTTGATAATAAATGTTACTGGTTTATGTATTTACTATACTATACTTTTATTGTTGTTTTAGAGCGTACTCTTTCTACTTATTAAACAACACAACTGTAAAGTAGCCTCAGTCAGGTCCTTCAGGAGCTATTCCAGAAGAAGGTGTTGTTATCATAGGAGATGACAGCTCCATGTGTGTTATTGTCCCTGAAGATCTTCCAGGAGACAAGATGTAAAGGTGGAAGACAGTGGTGATGATCCTGACACTGTGTAGACCTAGGCTTATGTGTATGTTTGTGTCTTAGTTTTTAACAAAAAAGTTTAAAAAGTAAAAAAAAAAAAAAATTTAAAATTTAAAAACAGAATAAACCTTTTCTAGAATAAGGATATAAGGAAAATATTTTTGTATGACTATAAAATGTGTTTCAGGCCTTCATGTTCATTCACTTCACTACTCACTCACTCACCCAGAGCATGTTCCAGTCCTGCAAGTTCCATTTATGGTCAGTGCCCTAAACAGGTGTACTATTTGTTATGTTTTATACAGTATTTTTACTGTATCTTTTCTATGTTTAGATGCACAAATGGTTACCATTGTGTTACAATTGCCGATGGTATTCAGTACAGTAATATGCTGTACAGGTTTGTAGCCCAGAAGCCATAGGCTATACCATATAGCCTAGGTGTGCAGTAGCCTATCCCATCAAGGTTTGTGTAAGTATGCTCTGTGATGGCCACACAATGAAGAATGAAATTGCCTAAAGATACATTTCTCAGAACATATCCCTGTAGTTTGTGATGCGTGACTGTACATAAGCAAATAATAGTAATAGAATATAATAAATGCTACCAGAATGGTGGCACCATATAGTACATTGAGTGCTGCCATAGAGCTATAGGAAGAAAAATAAAGAAATGATTCATTTGACTTGAAGGAGTATAGTGATGCCCAGGAGAAGAGATTTTAAAGATTGAGTGGTTTCAGAGTAAACAGAAAACCTACAGAATGGGAGAAAATATTTGAAAACTATGCAATGGACAAAGGTCCAATATCCAGCATCTATAAGAAATGTAAACAACAAGAGAAAAACAACCCCATTAAAAAAATTGGCAAAGGACATAAACAGACACTTCAAAAGACACACCTGCAGCCAACAAGCATATGATAAAAACCTCAATAACACTGATCACTAGAGAAATGCAATCAAAACCACCATGTGATACCGTCTCACACCAATCAGAATGACTATGGTTAAAAAGTCAAAAAATAACAGACGTTAGTAAGGTGCAGAGAAAAGGAAACACTTATACACTGTTGGTGGGAGTGTTAAATTAGTCCAACCATTGTAGAAAGCAGTATGGCGATTCCTCAAAGAACAAAAAGCAGAACTACCATTCGACCCAGCAATCCCATTTCTGGGTATACTCAGAGGGATATAAATCTTTCTACCCTGAAGACATATACATGCAAATGTTCACTGCACACTATTTACAATAGCAAAGACTTGGGTGGTTTTCCAGGCTCAGAAGGAGGAGATTGAACAAAGGAACAAAGGCACGAAGACCCAGTGTACAATTTGGGAAGAGTCACTGGAACTAAGGCCCAGGGAAGAGGCAATGGCTGGAGAAGAGACTGAAAATTCAGACCCTCAGACTAGGGTTAAGTTTTAAAATATTGTGCTAATTTTAAAATATATCCAAACTATGGGTTCAATTAAACTTATTGATCATCTATGTGCTAGGCATATTCTCTGTTTGTATATACTAGAACATGAACCTTCCAGGTCCTTGAAAATGCGTGCTGGGTACTAAATGAAATGTTTCCAGTTGTGATTTTTTTTTTTTTTTTTTTGAGATGGAGTCTTTCTCTGTCGCCAGGCTGGAGTGCAGTGGCGCAATCTCGGCTCACTGCAACCTTCGCCTCCCCGGTTCAAGCGATTCTCCTGCCTCAGCCTCACGAGTAACTGGGACTACAGGCATGCACCACCACGCCCAACTAATTTTTGTATTTTTTAGTTGAGACGGGGTCTCACCATGTTGGCCAGGATGGTCTCAATCTCATGATCCGCCCGCCTCAGACTCCTAAAGTGCTGGGATTACAGGTGTGAGCCACCGTGCTCGGCAGAAATAACTTTAAAAACTTAACATTATAGGTTCACACCTGTAATCCCTGTAAACCCAGCACTTTGGGAGGCCAAGGCGGGCGGATCACCTGAGGTGAGGAGTTTGAGATCAGCCTGACCAACGTAGTAAAACCCTGTCTCTACTAAAAATACAAAAATTAGCTGGGCGTGGTGGTGCACACCTGTAATCCCAGCTACTAGGAAGGCTGAAGCAGCAGAATTGCTTGAACCCGGCAGGCAGAGGTGGCAGTGAGCTGAGATCTTGCCACTGTACCCCACCCTGGGCAACAGAGCGAGACTCCGTCTCAAAAAACAAAAACAAAAACAAATTAAAAACGTTATACAAATCTAAACTGCAATGATGACGAGGAGGAGGAATGTGGACTCCATATGAAATTCCCTCATGGTATCTGCACTAGAACATCTCTACTTTTCTTAAACCTCAAACCTCGCTCATCTCTTTGACCCTTAGTCTCTACAGAGGATCTGTTCTCCCACTCTCCAAAATTGCTCAAGGCCATCTGATACGAGTGGCCTCAATTTATTTTCAGATATGCATGTGCTTTACTTGGGGTTTTGTTTTGTTTTGGTTTTTAGTTCAGTTTTTTTTAATTGGGGTTCAAATAGGAGACAGTCATGGGGAACCTAGAAGGGAAAATCTGAAAGCAAGCAAATACAACACCATACTGAGAATTGTACTATATATATGTAAAAGAAACAATACAGAAACTTCATTCTGCTATCACAAAGCCTTCAAAGAAATGACGATTGATGCCTTAGTGAGGTTCACTAGAAGGGAAAAAGTTGGCAGATGTTTCCTACAGAAGGAAAAGCATGAGCAAAATTCTGGAGACCTGCCATAGCTTCTTATGCTTCTGGAGGCAGTATGGATTCAGGGTTTGGATGTCAGCAATCCCTGAAACCATGTTTCACAACTCTCCAAATGCCAGTTTTTTCATTAATAAAGTATAATAATTCATATCTCATGGGGCTGTTAAACAAGAACATAAAGTACTCAGCTGTACGGTAAGAGCTCAACAAAGTTTGGCCATCATTATTATTATTACTAGCCTGGCATGAATGAAGTATGAAGGAATGGTGGTGGGTGATGAGTGTGGGAGAAATCAGAGGTTACATCATAAAGGCTCTGATGGCCACATGCTGAGTATGGATCTTACCTCCTAAAGGTATTGGAAAGCTTCTTAAATGGCTCTGCAATGGTGTGATTAACTTTATGTCTTGGAAAGATCACATTGGTCATGGTGTGCACATGTGGTTTTTGCCTATTCAACTAAAAGCTCCTTAAAGCTTTTTATGCCATCACAGTCTTACGCACCTAAGAGGCTAAATTATTTGCCAATTTGTGGTTGTTGAATTATCTGTTTCAGAACTACTCTGAATTATTAGGTTGAGATTGAATGAGAGGAGCAGGACTGGAAGTAGAGCCAACATTTAGAAAGTTTCTGCAGTAACCCAGTCAGTAGACTGTGGTGACCTCAACAATTGCCCAGTTACCTTCAGGACCAAGTCCAAGTTCCTTATAATGGTGTACAAAGCTGGCACAATCAGACCCCTGTTCTCAAAACAGCCTACCTCTCACTTGTCTTCTCACTTGCTCCACTTATGTACAATTATTTAAAGTTCTTGAAATATTCCTTTCCCTGTGTCTTCCCTCCATAGTTTCTCCTTCTGCATAGAATATTTCCTTTCCCTATCCACTTTCTACCTATTTCTTCTAGCTCCTATTCATCCTTCAAACCTCAGCTCAGATTTCACTTCCTCTAGGAAACCTTCAATGGCATTATCTTAGTCTTTTTGGCCTGCTATAACAAAACACCATAAACTGGGTGGCTTATAAACAACGGAAATGTATTTCACACAGTTTTGGAGGCTGGGAAGTCCTAGATCAAAGCACCGACAGGTTCAATGTCTGGTGAAGGTCCACACTCTGGCTCATAATGGTACATTCCCACTATATCCTCACGTGGTAGAAGGGGCTAACTAGCTCTCTGGGGTCTCTTTTACAAGCGTATTAATCCCATTTATGAGGGTTCCATCTCCAGTGATCTAATCACCTCCTAATGGCTCCACCTCATAATACTTCTGGAGGCAGAAGTATTAACCTTAACCTTAACCATAATACTTCTGGAGGCAGAAGTATTAACCTTAAGGGTTAAGATTTCAACACATGAACTGGCGGGGGAGGGAGGTGGGGATGGGACACAAATATTCAGACCGTAGCAGACAACTTGCTGTTTTAATGTAGAATGGATGACCCTCATTTCCCCAGAGCACTCCATGCTCTTCTATCAGGGAACTTATTAAAATCATGTAACATGTTTCTTGGTGACAAGAACTAGGTCTTTTGTTTCTGTAACTGAAGTGCTTAGCCCAGTATCTGGCATGTGACGTGCCCAGTAAATGTTTGCTGAATAAGTGAATCCATGTCTCTTGTTTGCCACTATTTGCCCACTGAATCCATTAAGTGAGTTTTCATAATGGATACCATTGAAAATTCAACCCTGAAAAGAACGACTTTGGTTGTGGACCCATAAAGTCTTAGAAATAGTGAAGCTCCTACTGTCAATCCTTGAAAGGGAACAGTGCAGCTGCTATATGCCTTGAGAATGGGCAAAAGACAAGCGACAAAAAGAGCACCAAAGGCACCTACTTGTCCCTCTGGGCCAGGGCCTCAGCGTATTGGTCGGGCTTGACCTGGTCTCCTGGTACATCTTCCCAGTTTTTGGTGACTCCCTTCAGTTTCTCTGAGAGCTCCAGGTTACACTCCTTCTCTGCTTCCACCAGAGCTGCCATGCGCGCAGCTTCATTCTTTGCTAGCCTGGATTCCTGGAAAAAGAACAAAAAGTGAGAGGCCGCAAAATTTCTACCTAGGTTAGGAGCCCTAAGACCCAGGAACACTGATGAATTTGAGAGGGAAAGTGGAGATGGAAAAGGTGAATGCCAGAAGGCAGGGTAGTAGGAAAAGGAGTATGAATAAAAGAGAACCCCTAGCCATGGACTTTGGGAGCTCCTCACCTCCTGCAGAAGCTGGATCTTATTCTCCAAGAGCTCATAAACATGCTCTGTCTCCTGCTGTCGCTCCTCAAACTGGCGTCGGAGCTCAGCTTCATTCTGACTGTTGAGATTCTCCACATCAGCCCTAAAACCACAGAGCATTAGCCAGTCAGAGCCAGACATACAGTTTAGCAAGTGGAACCATTAAGGTTGTTCCAGTAATTCAGAGTGACACCAATAAGAAGAAAAATTGAGCATTTTTTCCCTCTACAGTTATCTGTGGAACTGAGCTCTTCAACTTCTTCAGGTTGAAAAAGTTCCAAACTTTTAGAAACTCTAACTTTGTGTTGTTTGTCAAGTAGTATATACTTGACTTCCTAGTGCCTTCATTATCTTTATAGCTTCCAGAGGAACTTTCGTTTGGAAGGCAAGTAGTCATCAAATGGCTCACATTCACTGTCATCTGTCCTGGGACTCTTCCACTGACACTGCCTCCTAGAATGCTTTGCTAGTTCCTTGCCTTTCTTGCTATTTGAAATTCAAGTGTTCTTTCCATTTAGGTTGCTGGGACAGGATATCCATTTGGACAGCCACAGAAATGCTCTCTTCCTTTAAAACCAGTAATCCATAGTAGGCTGTCCTACATCTGGGCTACCTATCCAGAGTTCTATCCAGCTTTCCCATGGTCCCATGCAGAGACATTTAATCCATGAAAGCTCAAGATTTGGGCTGAGCTTTGCCTCTCTGATATCCCTAGGATTGAATGTCCAGGCGCTAGCATGAAGCGGGTAAGGTATCATCAACTTATTTATAGTGAACAACAGCTGCCCTCAGATGTCTGAGGATTAGAAATTTGGGAGCAATATCAGATGCTGAATGATTTTGATTCCTATTGGTTTTATTCCTGCTTTAAGCCATTTGTTGAGAACCATGGGCCATCTTCTTGTTCTCAGGACAAAGAACAATATTGAACTGGTATAGGCTTATGGGGCACTAAGACCAGTGGTACTTTAGTATTTGTCTCAGGGGGTTGTGTCCATGAAGAGCAAATGATGCTTCCCTAAAGATTACAGGATTCCTTGCTGCATAGTGGACACTACTGAGCACCATCCTAGGGGCTATATTTATCTTGAGCTCCTCTGTCATTATATAGCTTTTGGGGGGTATGAGGATCTTGACCACAAAAGAGACAAAAGTCAAGCGTATAACCCAAGACCCCCAAACACGCAGACCCCAGGAATCATCAACTTTTATTTTGAATCTGTATTTGACTCCATATTTCTTGCTAGTGCAATAGATAACTACCAACTATAATCTATAGAGAATGGAAGTTACACATTTTCTGAGTAACTCCATTAGCCAGGAACGCCTTATTTAAGACGCTACGGCTGTTTGAAGTCAGAAGATCCTAAACTTTGGCCGGGCGCGGTGGCTCATGCCTGTAATCCCAGCACTTTGGAAGGCCGAGGCGGGTGGATCACAAGGTCAGGAGATCGAGACCATCCTGGCTAACACAGTGAAACCCCGTCTCTACTAAAAAGACAAAAAAAATTAGCCAGGCGTGGTGGCGGGCGCCTGTAGTCCCAGCTACTCGGGAGGCTGAGGCAGGAGAATGGCGTGAACCCGGGAGGCGGAGCTTGCAGTGAGCTGAGATCACGCCACTGCACTCCAGCCTGGGCAGCAGAGCGAGACTCTGTCTCAAAAAAAAAAAAAAAAAAGAAGATCCTAAACTTTATGACAGAAGATGAGGGTTCTGCCACTGATTTGAGAAGAATATACCTTAGTTTTCTCATTTCTTAAAAATAGAATAATGTCACCTGATTCAAATGACATTTTTAAAAGTTTTTTAAATCAAAGCATTACACAAATTTCAAAATTTATTAATTGTCATTGTAAGTTGTTCTAACATTTATTAGCCTATTTAATGTCTTTAAATAGTAATACCAGCACATTGTGTGTAATTTAATTTGGTTTTAAATATTCTGAACTTGCTGGATTGTCATCCTAAATATCAAGAAATACTGTAGACACAGAAAGAATGCCAGATCAGATTGATTGTGTACTGATCCCAGGACATAATCTGAAAACATTGGTTTTTTTTTTTTTTGCATTTACATATTATTTTCTCTTATTTTCAACTTTTCAGCTTCAGGGGCTACTTGTGTAGGTTTGTTACCTGAGTATATTACATGATACTGAGGTTTGGGGTACAAATGATCCCATCACCCAGGTACTGAGCACAGTACCCAATAGTTAGTTTTTCAACCCTTCCTCCACTCCCCACCTCCCCACTCTAGTAGTCCCCAGTTTCTACTGTTGCTATCTTTATGTCCATGAGTACTTGTTGTTTAGCCCCTGCTCATAAGTGAGAACATGCTACCGCATTTGATTTTCTGTTTCTGCATTAATTTTCTTAGGATAATGGCCTCCAGTGGCATCTGTGTTGCTGCAAAGGACATGATTTCATTCTTTTTTGTGGTTGTATAGTATTCCATGGCATATATGTAAATGTGATGTAACACTTTTTTAAAATCCAGTCTACTGTTGATGGGCACCTAGGTTGATTCCATGTCTTTGCTATTGTGAATAGTGCTGCAATGAACATGTAAATGTATGTGTCTTTTTGATAGATTTGTTTTGTTTTGGATGTATGCCCTAATGGGATATATCCAAATTAATGGATATATCCAATTAATATTTGGGTGCAATGGGATTTCTGGGTCAAATGGTAGTTCTGTTTTAGGTTCTTTGATAAATCTCCAGACTGCTTTCCACAGTGACTGAACTAATTTATATTTCCACCAACAGCGTGTAAGCATTCTCATTTCTATGCAGCCTCGCCAGCATCTGTTGTTTTTAGACGTTTTAATAGTAGCCATTCTGACTGGTGTGAGATGGTATCTCATTGTGGTTTTGATTTATATTTCTCTGGTGATTAGTGATGTGAAGCAATTTTTCATATATTTGGTGGGCATTTGTATGTCTTCTTTTGAAAAGTGTTTGACCATGCCTTTTGCTCATTTTTTAAATGGGGTTATTTGTTTTTCATTGTTCAATTGTTAAATTTCTTATGGATTCTGGATATTAGACCCCTGTCAGATGCTAGTTTGCAAATTTTTTTAGATTCTAGAGGTTGTCTGTTTACTCTGTTGATAGTTTATTTTGCTGTGCAAAACTCTTTAAATAAATCCCACTTGTCTCTTTTTGTTTTTGTTGCAATTGTTTTTGAGGACTTAGTCATAAATTCCTGAGGCCGATGTCCAGAATGGTGTTTCTTGGGTTTTCTTTTAGGATTCTTATAGTTTGAGGTCTTACATTTACATCTTTAATCCATCTTGAGTTAATTTTTATATGTGCTGAAAGGTAGGGGCCCAGTTTCATTCTTTTGCATATGGCTAGCCAGTTATCCCAGCACCATTGAAGAGGGAGGCCTTTTCCCACTGCTTATTTTTGTTGATTTTGTCGAAGATCAGATTGCTGTAGGTGTGTGGCTTTATTTTTGGGTTCTCTATTTGTTTCCACTGGTCTATGTGTCTTTCTTTCCTTTTTTTTTTTTTTCCCAGCAACATGCTGTTTTGGCAACTGTAGCCTTGTAGTATAGTTTGAAGTTGGATAGTGTGATGCCTCTGGCTTTGATCTTGGTCATTTGATGAATGACACTGGTAGTTTGATAGGAATAGTGTTGAATCTGTAGACTGCTTTGGGCAGTGTGGCCATTTTAATGATATTGATTCTTCCGATCCATGAGCATGGAATGTTTTTCCATTTGTTTGTGTCATCTATGATTTCTTTTAGCAGTGTTTCGTAGTTCTCCTTGTAGAGATCTTTCACCTCCTTGGTTAGATGTATTCCAAGGTATTTTTTTTTTTTTAGTGGATATTGTAAATGGGATTGCATTCTTGATTTGGCTCTCAGCTTGAATGTTATTGGTGTGTAGAAATGCTACTGATTTTTGTATGTTAATTTTTGTATTCTGAAGCTTTATTGAAGTCTGAAAATATTTTTAATAATTCTAATACTTGTCATTTAACACTAAGTTTTAAAAAAACTATAAATTATAAAAGTAATCATTTGAGCAATGCAAATGTATATTAAAAAAAATTAAGTCTTCTCCCTATCACGGACTGTGATCTCACTCTTCCTCAATATATATACTTAATCAAGGAATTCCCACTAGGACAATAATATAGAGCTAACTCATTCTTTAATAATTGCATAATAGTCCACCGTGTAGTAATACCAAAATTTATTCAATCAAAATTTATTCAATCAATTGGTAATTGTTTCTATTTTTTTGCCATTACAACTAATGATGCAATAAACATCCTTATACATTTATCCTTTCACACTAATGCTTTTATTTATAAGAAACAGATTCCTTCTAGGGATTGTTTGATCAAAGGAAATCCTCCTTTTTTACTATAACAGGTAGCACCACATACTAAAAATGTTGTCACAATTTACACTCACTGATAGTGTGTGAGAGTGCTCACTTTCCCCAAACGTTATCTCAGCACTTGATGTTATTATAGGCTGACTGATACTTTTTTATAAAGCTTATTTGCATTTGCCTCTACTAAAAGTGGAAACATTCATTGTTTCTGTTTAATTGATTGCTGACTAAAAGGAAGTTTGCAATCTTAGGTCTGATGGATTTACCAACTTATGGCAAGGTCCATCTGACCTAGTAATAGACAGAGAGTCCAAGGGAAACACAGCATATGAAAATCTATTGTTTCAGTTCCTGAATCAGACACAGGATTCAAATGCCATAGATAGGTTAAGGAATTTGGTTCCAAATCTGTTGCTCTCAGATTAGCAAGCCAGACTCTGGAAAGGACCAGAGCTTAAAATTACAACTCACCATGTTTTATCCAGATGCTGTTTCTTGTCCTGGAGTTCTCGTTTCAAGCTCTCCACTTCAACCTTCAGCTCAATGTTCTGAAAAGCACACAGGCATTAATTGTTATTAACTGCCACAGACCCTCTATCCTGGATCCAGATTCCTATTTGAGTCTTGCCTTGGTCTACAGCCTCTCACCTCATCTCTGCCCTCTTCGTGACCCTTGACGTAGTTAGCTATTTAGTTGGATCAGCAATCTAGTCAAGGAAGAATAAACTGTACAGCTTCAGGATTTCCCCGAGCTACTTATCGATTTTCCCAACCTATTCATCATTATCCCTGGATCATGAACACTGCTCAAGCCTATTCGTTCTCTAAACCATTGCAGGACAGAGTATGTATTAAAATAAATTTTTCCTAACTAATACAGATTGTTCCTGAAAACCAAATTGCTAGAATAATACTTTTAAGAGAATTATAGTAATAGAATAATACTTTTAAATGCCTGGGGATTTCATTAGTTAAAGATATTTGGTTGTAAACATTTTTAAAAACAATGCTTTTATCATAAAATTGGAATTTTACAAATTAGGTTTGCTTTTTGAGAGGAAACTCTGATGGTAAAGTTACACAGGGAACAATTAATTTTTATTGAGGTGAGGAAGCAACAAGTAAGATTTAGGGAAACAGAAATAAGGAAACAAAAACATCCCAAGTGTGTCTGGTGCAGGTTAAGTGGCTTAGTGTGGGTAAAGAGTATAGAAAATAGTTTGCAACTAGTTTGTGAAAATCCTGCTAAGACAACTGGATAGGCTGGGCACGGTGGCTCACGCCTATAATCCCAGCACTTTGGGAGGCCAAGGTGGGCGGATCACTTGAGGTCACGCTTTCAAGACCAGCCTGACCAACATGGTGAAACCCCGTCTCTACTAAAAATACAAAAATTAGTTGGGCGTGGTGATGCACGCCTGTAATCCTAGCTACTCCGGAGGCTGAAACAGGAGAATCGCTTGAACCCAGGAGGTGGAGGTTGCAGTCAGCCAAGATCATGCTGCTGTACTCCAGCCTGGGTGACAGAGCCGGACTCTGTCTCAAAAAAAAAAAAAAAAAAAGCAAAAAAAAAAAAAAACAACTGGATAATAATCAGTAGAGATCAAAGACTCATCAGGGAGCTTTAAGCAAAGTATTGCCATGATCAGGCCCATGTTGAAGAAGGAATTATGAAGAAGATGGATGGGTCAGGGGCAACTGACCAGAATAGGGAGGGGGACTGTCTAAGGACAAGAGGTACAGGAAAAAAGACTCAAAAGACGTTTTAGAGACAGAAGCCACAGGCCTTGATGACTTTTGAGATTCAGATTAGACTGGAGGGAGGACCAAAGACAATGCTGAAATTTTTAGCATGTCGGTGGGAACGCATTCTATTAACTAAAATAGGGGCAGGTTTGTGGGGGAACCTAAGGAGGACTCTGCAAAATGTTAGTTGAGGGATTACTTTATTTCAGTTTAAACCTCAGCATACAAAGATGAATTAGTCCCATCCCTGATGAAGTCCATAATACAGTATTAGGCAAGAAGAACGTTATTAATTAAAAAAGTAAAGAAGTCTTTAGATCAGAGGTTGACAGAGAGACTGAAGGTGCAGTAGCTAAAGTATGAAAGGTAGTATTGTGGGTACTAAAACAGTAGGGAGGATTTTACTTTACTACCACCATACAATAACCACCAACACCTAGACTTCTAGAAGTCCAAGGCAACATACAATAGCAGCATATGGCCTACCATACTTGTGAAGACATTTCATAACCCATGTTTCCATGCAGGGTGGTTGAAACACAAATACTAATTGGGAAAAGTAGAAACCTGGTTTAGATATTTGAGAGTTACTTAGAATTAAAGAATTTTAGAGTTGGAAGGCAGTTGGACTCAAGGCGTTTGAGATTATATTACTAGTACGTTTCTAGTGACATACTGAAAAGAACATTTGTTCCCCTCATAAGTAGGCACCTTTTGACTAAGGTTAGAACATTGGTTCAGATCCAGTGAGATGAAAATATCCTAATGTCTTCAAGGCTTACATTATAGCATGTAAGAAGAAAATGACAGCTCTGTCTTTTCAGGATATCCTTTAAAGTTATTATTTTATGAACACTAGATAGCATTACCAGATTTAGCAAATAAAAATATAAGATACCTAGTTCAATTTAAATTTCAGATAAACAACAAATAATTTGTTTCATTAGAAGTATATCCTTTGCAATATTTGAGACGTAACTTAAATGCTAAAACATTGTTTGTTGTTTATCTGAAATTTAAATTGAATTGAGTACCCTGTATTTTATTCTGCAATGCAAATACCAAAAGATTAACAAACGGAAACAAGCATATTTCAATTTTGTATGAGGAACAAGTCCAAGATCTCTATATCAGTTTCATGGCGTGGCACTGCGAGAATAATTCATCTGTACCAATTGATCAATCGGTAAAATAGAAGATTTGATAAACTGTTGCTATGTCCCCAGCTTTGTGGTCAATACTTAAAGGAATTCAAATGTCTTCATAAGAAATGGTCCCTAAGCTAGAGGCCCTTCATAGAGGTGAAGGAATATGCATTCAATTATGTGGCAAATGCAGAGAGGGAGCAATTTCCTCATCTGTAATATGCAGATAATTGTATCTTCCTCATTCATAAACCTACCTTAGAGGATTGTGAGGCATAAATAAATTAATACATGTAAAGGACTTAGGACAGTGTTTCTAACGCAGGTATAATTAAACTTTTAATTATAATAATATTATCACCATCATCATCAAGAACAACAGCATTATCATTTGGGAACAGCAGTTTGCTTTCCATGAGACCATAATATTTCAAGTGGATTCAGTGTTCAGGATATGGTACTGAGACAGAGGACTCTTAAGTTTATTATTATTTCTGCCACCAATTGATTCACTTCTGTGACCTTGGGTAAAATTCTGCTAAGGCTTCTCCACCTGGAAAATGACAAAGAATGGGCAAAAAGCTATTTAAATCTCATATGAAAGAAAATGGAATCTATAATTATGAAATGTTATTATCAATGATATTCCTCTGCCTGGCTAATTTATATAAATCAGAAAAGTCTGGATATGCTAAACCACCTCAGATAAGCCAAAACTGCTTGAGCAGATTTTTTAAAAATCTCATGTCTAAAAATACCTGAGTTCTCCAATGACTGGAGCTATATCGATGCCCTCTGTCTAGTTCTCAGTCTCATGATGGGACATAGGGAATCTCTATCAGGTGTAAACTGATCAACAGAAAGTTCCCTGAAAAGTCCCTTACTATTAATACTATTTTTGCACGAGGAATCTTTGAATATTCAAATAAAAGTAAACAAACAACAGGGAATGTGAGAGGCACTATGAAACCAACCTAAGGCCGGAAAGAATTAAGTTCAAATCCTGGCTCTATCACTTTCCTGCTAGGTGACCTTGGGCAGGTTAACTAATCACTATGAGCCTCAGTTTTCTCATAAGCATAGTGTGGTTGCTTTCTTTTTTAATGAAGATAAGTATTCACGAGGGATTCTGTGAGGATTAAATGAGACAATGTGCATGATAAACATAGAACAATGCCTTGCACACAGCTGTTCAGCAACTTGGATTCACTGTCCCTTCATGTCCAGGCTAACCAGTGCCAGTCAGAAACCTCAGCCTTACCAGGAAAAATACTTAGATCTAAAGGAAGAAAAATGGAGGACATAAATTAGTAGATTCTATCTGTTCTAAATCCCACTGAAGAAAATGAAGTCAATGCTTCGACCAATTTTGCCAAAGATTCACAGATTTGAAGACCTTGGTATTTCTGTGTTCTAGTTCTCTTAAAGACAAGGAAATTGAAATCCAGAAGGATTACCTCCAAGGTAAAAGCCGTAACTGAAACCAACCCTCCACTATTGCTTTAGCCTTTTACCAGAGAGACCAGCTCAGGAAACACTGCCCAGTTTTGTCTGATTTTGTAGAATGTGGTAAAGTATAAAATTAGAGAATGTGCTGTCTGAAGTTAGTCTTGAAATAATATATGGAGGCAGTAAGTATAATGGTCAAGAGCATAGGTGAAGGCGAGAAGAGGGCTTGACAAGTCACCTGCCCTCTCTAAGTGCCTCATTCACCTCGTCTATCAAGGAGATAACAATGGTATTAATCTACAAAGGATGTTAGGGAGACTAAATGAAATAATGCACAAAAATCACATTGCACAGTGCCTGGCATGCAGTCAGCATTCAGAAAATGATAACTATTATTAACTATAAAAACAATAACAATTTACCCACTCTGACTAGGATAGCTGAAATCCAGAAGGGGTTTCAAGGTAAAAGCAATAATTTACCTCCAAGGTAAAGGCAGTAAGTGGAAAAGAAAAATTAAAAAGTCTATTCAAATAGATAATAAAGTTTATGAGTCTCACACAGAACTGCTGAAATGGCTTCATCTCCACAAGATTAAATCCTGAATATTATAATCAATTATTTCAGTGGATCAAAGTGATTTAATTTCACAAGTACTACAAAATCTTACCCCACGAAAATGCAAGGACAAACCAGTTTACAGTATCTTACATCAAAGTCTAACCTTCTTGCACCTTCTTTCTCTAGAAAAATCATCATATAGCTATCATATTTATTCATGCTCCATTAGTAAATATTCATGTGTAAATTGCTAAATTCTAAGTATAGCATAAGCAGATTCCAAATTAACTGCATTTGCTTATTTTATCACCAAGTCTTCTTGGCTCCTTGTCAAGATATCTAAGGAAATTTATGTACTCAAGAAAGGGTAGATGGGAAGAGAAAGCACTTCTCTTTCTTCATGCCTCCAAAGGAGTATTCGCCCATCTAACTCAAGAAAAAGTTTCAATGATGAAGCTGAAATTAAACTTTTGCTATAATGTTAGTACCTAGAACTAGAGCACAGGGCTAACAAGTTTATGGATAGTGTTTAGTCAGACTTTCTCTGTGTCCACAGCTTGTTTTGTTTCTGGAAACATTACTTGACCAGAGTCTTAACACCAATCCATGTTAAATACAGGATTCGACTGAAATGATTTCCACACCGG